TCTTAAACCAGAAAAACCTTTTAATATTTTTTCCGATTAACAGACGCAGAGGACACAGTCTGTTTCCTGATCATATTAAAGATACTCACTCAATCTCACGGACTTAGGACTGCTAAATTATCAGTTGTCGCCTTAATGCTTTGGATGTGTAATAAACTTCAGGTCAAATAAATCCTTCTTTGCCAGTTTAATAAAAGACTAATCAATTTAAGGAATCCATAATGCAAAGCGACAATGCTACAGTGGCCTCCTCAGCCAATCAACGGTTAATATTTTTTTCAAGTTGAGTTAAATGTACTGATCATGCTTTGTCAGTGGTCATGCTTGTTATTGACATCATACTCACCTAAGTTCTGTTACTTAAATGCGGATGAGGGGATTTTGCCAGAGAAGATTTGTAGCGGATTGCTACGCTAGTAAAGCCTGACCGACTCAGAAACCTCTATGGCAGATTCTCCAACATCTAGCTAGACTCCCAGAACCAGCTAAGTTATAGCCCAGCCATGAAAGGAAACAGACGTGTAGCACGGAGCACGTTTATTCAGTACGTATATTAATAGCAAAGTGTTGAGTTTGGCAAAGTGATTAGTCATCAGATAACTCTAGCATAATTCATGTGAACATTAATAGCTAAATATTTCTGAGTAGTATTCTATAGCAGGGTTTCGATTTGGTTATTGATGAAGTGTCCCACAGATTGATAAAGTTTAGTCAAGGCTAATTGATGTGACTTCTGCGATAGATTTCAAATTTTTTGCTATTCTAAATATGTTTAAGTTGATTTTAATTTGAGCTTAAAAAGAATAAACTATGGTGTTAACAGCCTAGATTATTTATAAGCATTTTCTCGTCAGAAATATGCTTACTATGATAGCTTATAATTCTGTTTCATTCATTCAATAAGGACCTTTTCACCTAATATCTTCCTATCTCATCAACTCTAAATTAGTGAACCAAATACAGGTGAAATTTCACATTATTAACTCATGTCATAGATGCCTACTTCTAGTCATTAGCTAAATTTTTAACGAAAATAGCAACGTTTTCAAAGTAGCTTATTATTCATCTGAGTGAATATAAATATTACTTTTGCTTCAAATAATCTTTCTTCACACTAGATCTGATTCGATTGATGAACAAGTAAATAGGTAGATTTGATTGGTTAAAGCTAAGCAAACTAAATAATGACTTTTCGCTTTAATTTAACCTTGAAATAGGCGTACGGCTTCTTCACAAAGCTCTTATGCTTCGAATATAATTACGTTAAAGAAATCCTGTAACAATAAAACCTGTATTTAATGTTCACTTGGTCTCTATGGATAACATGACAGCTAGTAGCTGTTCGTATGACATTTCATATGATCTTACTGCACTTTCTTCCATTTATCATTTGGAAAGTAAGCATGAAGCTTTAAATTGTGATTGTTCTCTGCACACCTTCCTTAATTGCCAATCATGTTTCTTATAACAATAATATTTAAAATTTATTGTTATGGATTGTTAACTAATAGGAATGAGGAGAGATTATACAATGAGTACAACTTATTACGGTCTACATGCTATTATCAATTATTTAATCTTAAATATTTGATTAATTCTTTTTAAATATTTATTTATTTCAAATGAAGGGCTTTATGATGCTTGTCATTAGCCCTTTAGCTGACTTTGGGCTTCTCAGAGGGGAGGAACATCTAAGTGGAAAAAGTGGAGAGGGGGGACAGAAGAGTGATTCGAAGATGTAAAAGAGGCGGACAGACACAAAAGCAGAGAAAAGGTAGGATAAGTACTGTGGAAGTGATCGAATGAGACATACAGTGAGGTCATGGTAGTTTGAAGTCAGAAGTCGACTGCCGGTTAATAGACTTTTTTGGCTTATGAGAATACGTTGCCCAGGGTGCACCCCACGGAGGAAAGTCTATCGTACATCTCTCATTTTAAATATTGTTTAGTTTTAAATTCCAGGCTAAAGTTGTGATTATCTTAAACACTATCCAAGTTATTTAAATTTGTATTAAAACAAACCTTCAAAGTGGGAATAAGAAAAGTTCCTTTTTAATGAAAGACTAAAGGGGCATTGCTGACAAAGTACTGTAGAGTACATGGTCATAACACGGTTAAACAAAGCGATCTCATGCGCTCTCGCACACTCTGGTGGTCGCGTTTGGGAACCAATGAGGTTACGAGTGCAATTACCTTTCGGCCAATCGACAATCAAGAGTTGTCGCAGTGCCAGACTACCCAAAACCGTGGTTAATGGCTAAACTTTGTGCCAATTTCATCTTTTAGGGAAGAGACACCACAGAATACACAATTCAAATACCCGTATCGGGAGCCATTCCATACTGTGATAATGCCATGGAGATTACAGAGCATAAATACTTGTTATTGTAGCAATCTACTGCAGTCTTATCCAAATTTTACCAATAATAATAATTTATTTTTAATTAAATCGTAATTTTTGTTATCTAAATAAACAAATCTACACCCTTATTAAAATTTAATGCTTTTTTTCTTATAACATTCTTGCATTTGGTTTCCTTCTCATGATTATGACTAAATAAAATTCATACGTTATCATAACTAATACTAGTTGTATCTTATTCAATAACAGCATTGTCTGTGGAGTAATTCTTTGATGACAAGAACAACAGAATTGCAGATATAATCCTGCTATTACTCAACGCCTTTATGTCTCGATCATGTAGTTCCTATAACTTCTTGCTAGCAATCATCTATTTTGCATCTAAAATGCACAACGATCTCCTTCCTCCTCTCTCCTCCCCTTCCATTCCAGACATGTGTAATAATATTTTTCATAATAAAAGTACGCTTAGGTCAAGTCAGGACAAGTTATATTGGAGTTCGCATTAGTGACAGAAACGCATGTCCGTTTTGCCGTAAAATATATGATCACCGCAACCGCCAAATTATAAAAAACTATTTATTCTCCGCTATTTCTGGCAGAATTGATTTAGACCTATTTTTGTTGCGAACCCGGAACCTGTCAATATTGCAATTAACTTGAAAGAAATCGATATTATTATGCTACAGAGATCTTCAATTACATTTAGCTAAGCGGGGTGTGCGATAGACTTACCTCCACGTGGTGCACCCTGGTCAACGTATACTCATACGCAAAAAAGTCTATTAACCGGTAGTTGACTTCGAAATACCATCACCCAACTGTATGCCATATTCGACCACTTCCACAGTACTCACCTCACCTTTTTTCTACCTTTATGTCTGTCTCTTTTACAACTTTGAAGCACTCTTCTGTTTCCACCCCCTTTTGACTTTTTTCACTTTGATGTTCATTCCCCTCTGTGATGCCTGGAGTCAACTAAACGGCTAATGTTAACTATCAAAACGTTTGCCATTCGGTATTAATACAATTAGCTAAGCATGGAGATTTCCACTGTGTTAAATGTGATACACTATTAGAAGTAAAATCAAAAAGCTTTTAGGTTTTAAATGCTACATATGCCCATTTGTAGACACAATCTGTCTTTTAGCAGAGCTGAAAGGGTTGATTTTTCCTATTTAACCAGTATTTATGCCTTTTTAATTTAGTTTACCGGAGCCATCAGTCAGTTAAATAGAAATTTGGCGTCATTTGTGGCATACTAACACAGTGCTTCCAAAATGACTGGCCATTATATTTCCTCCTAAAGTCAATCCATTTAATTGGAAAAATGGAATAAGTTAATTATATTGAAGGAGGAATAAATTGCTAGCTTCTCAGGTGATTCAGTTGCTCCCAAGTGAAAGAGGAATTTGATATCAATAGGAATTCAATAATCAATAAGTAAATATATTCTGCAATCCCGTCTAAAGCTGTTTTATAAGTTGAAATGTCATAAGTAAGTTACTGATATATTTCAACTTAAAATATTCGACAGAAATATAAAAAATTTTTACGTTGCAGTTATCTCGTTAAAAGAATAATTTATGTTTACGACTCCTTTCTGTTAGAAGAGATTTGTAGCGGATTGCTACTTTATTAAAGCCTAACCGACTCAGAAATCTCTATGGCATATTCTCCAACATCTAGCTAGACGAACAGAACAAGCTAAGCTATAGCCCAGCTATAAGGGAAACAGACGTGTAGCACGGAATACGTTTATCCAGTACGTATATTGATAGTGAATTGTCCTTTTTTGGCAAAGCGATTAGTTATCAGATAACTCTAGCATAATTCGTGTGAACATTAATAGGTAAATATTTCTGAGTAATATTCTATAGCAGGATTTCTATTTGGTCATTGATGGAGTGTCCCACAGATTATTCAATTGTGAACAAATAAAGAAACATGTAAACGGATAATTAACAAATTCAAAGAAATAAAGAAGACATACTAACTAATAATTTTAAGATTTTGATTCGTCGTTTTTTCATGCTCTTAAGACCCCAGAAATCACAAAATACAGAACTCGTTTCCCCTTGAATCGAAACTTTCATTCCATGTATGTTTTTCAGTGGGGATAGAAAGTTAGTCGACAGAACGAGTTTCACCTATTTAAATTGAAAATTCGTCTAGGTGCATTCGGAATAAGGAACTGTTTTTTTCATCCAAAATATATAAATAATTTTTGCTTCTTGCCACTTACCTTGATAAATTTTCATACTTAACGAAAATAATCATCCGTCTCCCCTAAATTTCGAAATATTACCTCAAACTTTCGCCTTTTGCTCATTGGCAACTAAGAGACCAAAAATTTGACAGCACTAAGAACTAGATCATTGGTGACCTTAGAGATTTCGCGGAAGGAAATTAAAACTAATCCCTTCGTGTGTCAAACTATCACCCATTTTCAAGCTTAATAAGGACATCGCGCTGTAGTGCATTTCGGCTTGGTGCATGAGCGAAATCTGATTGGTCGCGATCATGGCCAAATCTTCGGGTGGTACTATGTGCAATCTCACAGTGGCCGGGAAAATTTGTTCGTGCACAACGTTCTGGCGCTTCATATCCTTCATCCGTTCGACTTGATTCAATCCAAATGAAAGAATCCGATTGGAATGTTCAGGTATTAGTCCAATTACTTCCGTGTTCAACCGAACTTTTCAGACCTTAAAACCCAGCGGGACAACTAAAAGTTGGAGAGGGGTCGTTCTTGCTGCAGTTGTTATAATTCTTATTCTCAGCATCATCATAATCTCTGTTCTTTATGTAACTCCGAGTAGGCTGCACCACCCACTTTACTGACTTATGCATTTCAGTTAAACTAAGTAAGGATAATGAAATCGTGTCCCTGGAATCACTACTTAATTGGAGCATTCAGTACCAAGAAATCATTTGGATTTCAGGTAATGCTGCGATGTTTTGTGTTATTGTTCAGAAAACATATTTGCCTATGCAAATGATAAGGGACTGGCAGTGGTAACATCTGAATCGTCAGAAATGGATCAGAAGTATTTGCGAAGAGAAGTGCTTAATTTGTCTGCAGAAAAGGTAGGTTAAGTTCCGTACCAAATTCTTGATTCCACTAAGTTGCCTTTTAAATGATGTGTTTCGACCTCTTTTTAGGACATCAAAGTATCCAAAATTTGGTCCTGTATGAATGGCAATTACTTTCTCGTTAGATACGATAATATAAAGGTATTTATTTAAGACTATTTGCTAGTTTTGTGACTATTGAGCAAATATGTATTTATTTATTGCTTATTAGGACCAACACCCAGTGTTTGAGATCGTTCAAGGTGGTAAAAGGTAAGCGCTTTCGGAAATATTTAAAGACATCAGCTTAGATTTTCCGAATTTCCATTTATTTTTCATTTGAAACTGAACAATTAAATGTGCTTTTTTGACGAGAAAGTTCATTAGATCATCCATATATTTATTTCAAAACTGTAATTTTTTAATAATTAAAATGATCTTTTCTATTTCTAGCATAAAATAAACTGTTATAGAATTTTCCCAAGAGACTAAAATCATCAATAAATTCCGATAGTTAAATTGTTAATACTTTAAAGTTAAATTCTATAGTTTCTAATTTAAAATATGTTCTTGGAGCTGTTTTAATTAAATGAATTGTGTCTAAGTAAAGTTTATTAACAGTTTAACATAAAATAAATAATTTATGAAAAACAATATTTTCATTTTTTGTTCACTTTACTTCAGCAATCCGAATGCTGATGCCCTGCGAATACGCGAACTAAGGAACGAGAAAATGCAATTTCTACCTGTGGTTGCCGCTTCCTGTTTCCCCAATAGTGATGTAGTGGTAAAATCTCAATCTCTGCCACTTTTATACTGTTATTCTATATCCACAATAATTAAAATTTGCATTTTCAATCAAGGTTGCAGTTGCTGGTGGTCATGTATTCTCTACGCGTCACGTTCTATCTGATGTTAATGCCAATTATGGATTTAAATGTCTATCTTGTGGAATATCGCATCAGATCTTCGCTGAGTTAAGTCCAGAATATCAAGGTAAGTAAGCGATAAAGTTTTAATGGAGTGTGAAAGATAAGTTTGTAATAGATAAATGGGGGTGTGGGATAGACTTACCTCCTCGTGGTGCACCCTGGGCAACGTATAATCATACGGCATAAAAGTCTATTAACCGGCAGTTGACTTCTGACTTCAAACTACCATCACCCCACTGCATGTCATATTCGACCACTTTCACAATGCTCATCTTACTCTTTCTCTGCCTTTGTATCGGTCTGTCTCTTTTACATCTGTGAATCACTCTTCTGTTCTCCCTCCCGAATTCTTCTCATTTCGATGTTCCTCCTCCCCTCTGTGAAGCCCGAAGTCAACTAAAGGGCTAATGATAACTTTCAAAACGCCTGCCATTTGTTATAAATAATAATAGATAAATGAAGTAGACAAGCTTCAAAAATATTTGTGGAAATTTATGACCCATGAGTATTAATAAACTGCTCATTATTAAGTAGTTAAATTAATTCATTCCTGCTGATTTATTTATATTTCGTGCCAACATAGTCTTGCCTACTTTTGAGGTATGCA